CAGCAGCAGAGACCTGTGCCCCCAACTATTTTTGGATGATAAACATTTGTATCAGGTCAACTAAACATGGACATACAGTGGTAACAATATTTTTTTACTACATTTATCCATTTTAAATATACTAACCTCACTTTGTAACAACTAAGGCAAAAATGTCATTAATTCAGAAAATCTTTTCAGGACCCCACCTTGATGTTTTGGGACCCCACTTTGGGTCCCGACCCCAACTTTGGGAAACACTGGTCTAAAGGTGTAATAGGTGTAAAATATATCATATAAAGACAAACATAGGATAAAGGATAAAATTTAACAAAATGTATAAAACATATTTACAGCAGATCAGTACAGTAATCAGGACAGACAGCAGGGCTGGACTGGGACTGAAAAACGACGCGGGCATGTTTTGGTCCTGGCAGCCCACCATCATTATTTATACAATAWACAAATAGACACGACATACCAGAGGATGTGTRGCATGTTGTGTTGTTTGACAAGTTAAAGTGCAGCAGCCTACAGGGAAGAGAGTAACCATGTTWAAAACCTGATGAGCTCTTCTTCCAATCAGAGACTTTAATGTTCACGAGGTTCTGATGCTCAGTCAGTGGATCAGAGAGACAACAGATCAGACAAGTGCTAAAGTCACAAAGAAGGATTTGTTTAGGCCTGGTTAGCTCACCATGGTAACAGAGACTGAACTCAGTTTTATCTTAACCTGTCAGTAAGAAGCTCTTTCTTTACCTGGTGACACTGAAAATATTYCAAWGTGACTYAAACWGTATTTATGTATCATCATAGTTCRACCTGCTGCTGTAAGATTTTAAACTTAACAGTTAATCAAATGAAATAAAACTAAAACTTTCACCTTCCTGAAAGTCAAGTTTAGAGCTCTGATTCTCATCTAAAGGTTTTATTTTTTAATTTAATATACTATTTATGGAGCTGCTGATTCAATCAGACTGTTAATAAAAAAATTTTTTGTTCAAACTGTTGAACAAGTTGATCAGTTCAAACATGACTTGGACACCATGAGAGAATAATTAGCTGATATAAGGATCGACCTGCTGACAGAGCTGAACTGTTTGTTACTAGTTTTCACAAACACAGCCTTAATTAAACTATGAGCAGCTTGTTTTACATACAACACAATGATACAACAACATGTTTTAAACTCACCAGGTGAGGCTGTGCAGGTAGAMAAYCTGCAGTTAACAGAAACTTGAAGCCAGAGTCTCTTTAACGTGTCCAGAAGGTCCAGGAGGGACGAAAAATGTCACCTGTCTGACATGAAAAGTTACCTGCCTGAAACAAAAATGTTCAAAATTTAATAAAATAAAAAAGTGTACTGTACTTTGTACTACAACAATATTAACATGTGTACACACAGATGTACACAACATCTGATTAAACAGATGCAAACATTTCAGACTGAGTCAGTCAGTCAGTCAATTGTTTTATCAAAAACATCTTCAATAAACATTTTAAGACTTTTCCAGTGTTTCCTCTGGACCAGTGGTTCCCAAACTTTTTATCTTCTGACCCACAAAATATTCATGGCAAAAACTTGTGACCCAAAATATTACTGGTCTGAGTACACAAACTTTGTTAATAACCCTAAAAACACAGGCTTTTTGACAATCTAAACAGCTTGTACACAAGTATAAATACTTATTTATACTTATTTTGTGTTTTTGTAATAATTATAGGGAAAATATTACATCAGCAATTATTTTATTACCCTTTAAATTGATTTCTGGAGATTATCCAAGGTGCTTCATGACCCATAATTGGGTCCCAAGCCCAACTTTGGGAACCAAAGTGCAGTGGTTCCCAAACTTTTTAGCTTTTGACCCACAAAATAACAGCAGAGACCTGTAGTAATAGTAACAATATATTTTATACTACATTTATCCATTTTAAATATACTAACCTCACTCCTTTGTAACAACTAAGGCAAAAATGTCATTAATTCAGGAAAATCTTTTCAGGACCCCACTTTGATGTTTCGGGACCCCACTTTGGGACCCAACCACAATTTTGGGAAACACTGCCCTAGAGTACTGGCTTTGAGAGGTTTGCTTATGAAAACAGACTGATCAACAGCAGCAGCTTTGTTTTAAATACAATTTACAGAACAAGAAAGTCTGAAATTTTTATTAATTGAATCTTAAATAGTGAATCTCATATCTAAAGATACATTTAAGACATCTTGAACTGGAGTCTCCATACAACCTAATGATAAATCTGATGTTATTTATACCAGTCAGAATATAATTAGAGATATCTTAAACAGGTATTTTGAATTGTTAAATATATATTAAGAGATGTCTATTTATTTGTTTGTTTCTTTCATTTATAAAAACAAAACAGTCTATGTCCACCATTAAAAAAAGTAAATCCTACCCTGAATTAAAAGGGTGCAGAGTGAAGAAAAACTTATATGTGCCCCTTATTTTCAAAAATCAACTTCAACAAACGAAGAAGCTCAAGCTGGAAAGATCTCCAAGTTTAAAAAATAAGTAAATAAAACAAAATAATAAAATAAATCATTTTATTATTTTATCATAAATATGTCTAATTTAGTCATAAAACAATGTCAGATATCTGGAATGTAAGAGTGCTCATATCTGTGGGTAACAATACATAAAAACAAGTTTTTTTTTTCTCTGAAAACACAGGAGTGAAAAACGACGGTTGTTAAAGCTTCACTCGATGTGCAGCAGGAGGGAGGAAATAATCCTGTGACTTAACGTAACTTTTCTACAGCAGGAGGGGGACATTTGAGGATTTATTCTGTCTGTACGTGTTCTAAAACACAGTATTTCTTTGTTTATTTTCAGAATATTTTAAYTAAATGGCCCTATGAAACACTAAAGAAATGGTTTACCTGCCCTGGGCAGTCGGGCAGTAGGATTTGTCAAACCCTGGCGTGCAGGGTGAGAGGGGTCAGCTGTGGTCCCACCTGCTCGCCTCACAGTCCTGGAGACGTACAGGTCATGGAGAGGTGGGAGGCTGCAGCCGACCACCTTCTCAGCAGAGCACACAACGTGCTGCAGTCTGTGTCTGGCCCCGGCACACCACGCCATGATGGAGGAGCTGAGGATGGACTCCATGATGGCTCCTGAGGGGCCGTGGCCTTTCTGAAGTCCACAATCATCTCCACTGTTCTCTGGGTGTTGAGCACCAGGTCACCAGCCGGTCCACCTCCCACCTGTAGGCAGACTCATCCCCATCTGAGATGAGCCCGATGAGGGTGGTGTCATCCGCGAGGTGTCTTTATGTGTGTTGGGAAACAGGTTTTGTCCTGCGTGCCTGAACGCAACGTAACAGAGTCCTTCAGCAGCAAAGACAGGGAGGGAGGAGCCTGTTTAGTGTTGAGCTTCAACAAAAAACAATAAAGTTTCTTGAATAAAGACAACTCCAGCTGCAACATGTAATGCTGAGATTCACTTCATGTTTGATGTAAACCAACAGTCTGAGATGGGAGGAACTGCATGAGCTTTTTTATCCAGAGTCAGCAGATGGCTGTGATGTGTGACAGAGATCCAGACTGTTTGAGTTACAATTTAACTGATTTATTTTTGTCTTTTTGTTTGTTTKAAAACCAACAAGWTCCTGATRCTGTTTCATATTTAATSTCTTTYTTTTGTCTTTTCAGACCTCCAACAGGAACCGGTCCACAAGACATGGATTCTCAAGGACCAGCAGCTCTACGAGCAGGTGAGGAACTCCAGTCTGGACCAGGATGGACCAGAACCTCCACACTTTGAGGACCAAGTTGGACCAGAACCTCCACAGTTTGAGGACCAAGATGGACCAGAACCTCCACAGTTTGAGGACCAAGATGGACCAGAACCTCCACACTTTGAGGACCAGGAGGAACCAGAACCTCCACAGATCAAAGTAGAGGATGAGGAGCTCTGCACCAATCAGGATGAAGATCAGCTCCACCTGAAGCAGGAGACTGATCCGGTTCTGGTGACTGTTTCATATGAAGAAAGTGAACCAGAACCAGACAAGGAGCAGCTCGTCTCTGAGGATCAGGATTCAGGGTCAAACGAGAAGACGGGTCACACTTCAGCCACGTCTGACAGGTTGTTTTCTTGTGAAATCTGCGGGGAAACCTTTTTAGAGAAATCACTACAATCCCGTCACGTCAAGGTCCACAAAGTCTGGAACCAGAACTTTGACCAGCTGCTGTATTGTTGTCCCACCTGTGGGAAAAAGTTCTCTGCTTATAACCAGTTAGTCATCCATATGAGGATCCACACAGGTGAGAAACCATTTTCTTGTAAAACCTGTGGAAAAAGTTTTAATCACAAACCACATCTGAAACGTCACATGAGGATCCACACAGGCGAGAAGCCTTTTTCCTGCCAAATCTGTGGGAAAAGTTTTATTCAAACCTCTGCTCTGGTTAGTCACATGAGAAAGCACACAGGTGAAAAGCCATTTTCTTGCAAATTCTGTGAAAAAACATTTTCTACCGTTGCGGGCTGCAAACAGCACGTAATGATTCACACAGGGGAGAAGCCATTTTCTTGTAAAACTTGTGGAAAACGTTTTAACCAACGTTCAAGCGTGAAAAGCCACATGAAAGTGCACACGGGCTGAGCTGACGAAGAACAGGTTTGAAACAGGAGAATGAACCGTTCAGAAAGTGTTGAAAAGTTAGAAAAGCCTTAAATGTTCATGTTTGAAGCAGAGTTGGTTCCGTCAACATTTCTTGTTTCCTGCAGCTCAGACTGAAGCTGAGTGAAAACCGTTTATTTCTTTATCAAACTGAAGGTTCAGTCAGAAACTGAAAAACTACAGTGAATGTTGAAATAAAAAGTATTCATTAAGTTGTAGATTTAAGGAGTTTGTCGGGATTTATTTTGGTTTCATTAAACTTTAAACTTGTTTCATCTGAATGGATAAATAATCAGCTGTTCTTTAGTCACCAAACTTTATTTCACCTTCGTTGTTCTGATGGTCAAACCTTCATTTCTTACAAATTTAATATCATCGCCTGATAATAAAATACATTTATAATAAGTTTTAATTTTTAAAAAGTAAATTAAGGGTTTTTATTTATACATTTTGACTGAGATCTTCACTGTTAAAAATTATGGATCATGATTTTACATATGTGTAAGTGTGTGTCCTCTTTCTAAATATTGCATTAAAGTATTTCAAACAAATGTTTGGTTTTTTGTGCAGATCAAGTTTTGTTTGTTGTGATCATCCACGCCGCCTYGTGGCGCTGAGTCTTAGTTGTGTTGTTCTGCTGCAATTAAACCCACGAAGAAGAAGCTGAAAGTCGCTGTTTGTTTGTTGTGGTCAGCTGAGTCGTCGGGTTTGTTTTTAAAACGATGTCTTCAGTTCACTATCTGAGAGAGTATATCGGTGAAAGGCTGACAGCTGCTGCTGCAGAAATCTTCTCCGAGTTTGAAAAAACCATCCTGCGGTACGAAGAGGAGATCGACCGTCAGCGCAGACTGCTGGATCTCTGCTGGAAACCTGAACTGAAGCTGCACAGAGTCGGTATGTAGCTCTGAGAGCAACCAGCAGCTCGTTTACATACAGAAAATAAAGCAGGAAGCTACAAACACAAAGTTACTCCGAGCAGAGAAACACGTTTGTGAATGCAYCTAAGCTAATGCTAATTGGGCTAAAACAAAGCAGAGCTAACGTAGGCTAATCAAGCTAATCTGCTTTACGGAGCTAATTGATGCTAACAAGCGACCTGGGTGGCTTGTTTTTATTTCTGTACCCAGACTGCAGGTTAAATTTACAGCTCTTTATGAGCTCATCTTTAAGCTTAGCATCACAGGAACAGCTGTGTTAATTTCCTGATTATATAGTTTTACACTGTCGAGGAGGAAAAAAGAAAGGAGGAAGATGGAGAAGTGAAGTYCATTTCTACTGTCTGATGTGGTTTAAAAAAAGAAAACACCAAAATGCCTGTAAAATATAACCACAATAATCATCCATAACGTTGTGGAGTCTTCTTACGCAGGAGTAAATTCTCCTTTTCTACCAGAATAAATGTTATAATTTTTTTTGTATATAACTATAAATGAAATAGAAACACATTTTCTCCCTCTGTCCTGTTGTACGTCAGTATAGCTCAGCAGATAAACAGGTGTTTATTTCGGTTTAATGATGGTTTCACGCAGTGGGTTTCATTGCTGCGCATGCGCATTGCCAGGGGGCATGACAATCCAATGGGTAGTTTATTCTCTCTTTCTCTCTCTCTCTCTCTTTCTCTCTCTCTCTTTCTCTTTCTTTTTCTCTCTTTCTCTCTCTCTTTCTCTTTCTATCTCTCTCTTTCTCTCTCTCTCTTTCTCTTTCTTTTTCTCTCTTTCTCTCTCTCTTTCTCTTTCTATCTCTCTCTTTCTCTTTCTTTTTCTCTCTTTCTCTCTCTCTTTCTCTTTCTATCTCTCTCTTTCTCTCTCTCTCTTTCTCTTTCTTTTTCTCTCTTTCTCTCTCTCTTTCTCTTTCTATCTCTCTCTTTCTCTCTCTGTCTCTCTCTCTTTCTCTCTCTCTCTCTCTCTCTCTCTCTGTCTCTCTCTCTCTCTCTTTCTCTCTGTCTTTCTCTCTCTCTCTCTCTGTCCTTCTCTCTCTCTTTCTC